TCTCTCTCTCTCTCTCTCTCTCTCTCTCTCTCTCTCTTTCTCATTATTTCTTTTTTAATATTAAATATTTTATTTAAATTTTTTATAACTTTTTTTATAAATTATTTATAAATATTCCACAAAATCTAATGAGCAATGATTTTATTGCTTTAATAATTAGCAAATTATGAGTACATTTTTAGTTCATATAAATTATAATAAAAGTACATTCTTTATAATACATTATACCATTAGATGACTAGTAGTTGTGTTTTAAGTAATTAGTTATGATTCCAACCATAAGAAAGAAGAAAGTGACACAACCGCTCATATACTGTATATAAATCAATAAAACAATATAAATATTTATGCAATTAATCTGAATTTATAATTACTTTGAAAAATGCCTGCAAATTGAACGCAAAGATATCAAAGCAATAAAAACCAATTGTGGGACCGGACAGGCGCTCAATTACTTGAACGAGCTAATTAACACAATTATTACATTTTAGCTATTATTTTGTTAATTACATGATTATAAATAGACCTTACTTTAAATTTATCTACAAGTGTAGCCCTTATGCTTAGGAATATACCATTAATTGGCACATATAATCGGTGTACCTGTAAGCCAGGGATTAATTACATTTTCTACATGTATATCAAAAAATAATTGCAATAAAAATTATAAATACTTCGTCCGAGAACTGGGCCGCAGAATAGGTGGCCAAACATATAACGATAATCTTGTTGACGGCAATGAGTCCATTGCCGATACGGAAAAAGACATTTCCGTCGCCAAAGAATGCGATATAGAGGAGCAAATTGATGGCAATTGTGGCCGCGAAGTAGTTGACGGCAATGATCCGATTGAAGAATGCATTGTAATGTACGGTCAGCTCAACGATTCTGTGGTGTTCTTCCAATAGATTCAGTAAAATTGTTTTGTTTTTATGCAATGAATACACAATTTTGTTGGCCACTTGTCTGAACCGTAAGTTCAGATAGTATTGGGTTAAGTAGAGTAGACTATAGCTGACCCCTTGCATGGATGCGGCCACCCATGCGGCATATGATGTCAATACAAACCATACCACCGATACTGTAATACTGTATCCGTAGTCCTGTCTAAGAATCGCACAAACCGTGTAATAGCCGTAAATCAATGAGAATAAGACCAATGCGTTAAACGGGATCTGTTTGAGCATTAATTGTAGCGATAAAACGCAACGGATGTTGAATTTGCGTAAATTGTCTTTCAGTAGATAGTGTTGTCGTCCGGTTTGCAGACAATACAACTCGTGAATAAACGAAAACTTTCTATTACTTTCGCCTATTTTTATAGCATTACAATTAACGTTAAAAACATTATACAAATAGTGATTAAAACTACAAACCAATTAAAAATATGGTTCGCATAGCACTGGCGTTCAATGCTATCGATCCGATCACTAGATTGAAGAGAATCCGATCGCCAGTCAAATAGAAAGGATCGCCTATTAGTGGCCATAGAGTCGGGTCTTTGATGAAAGCGGCCGTAAAAAACTTAATGACAGTAAGCCATCCGTATATACAAACACAGACACCAAATATTTGTCTTCTTTTGTTAATGTGTTTATTAATGACATATTCTTCAAAAGAGTGCGAAAGGATGGCTATGAGAGGGCTTTGCAGATACTTTTCAAACTTATACAATGATTTTATCGGCACATTTCGTGTTAGGTTTGACTTCAACTTATAATATGCTTTTGAATAATTGCTTACTGTGTTTGACATTATTTAGCACTTGATTTATGAACATTACTTAATATGATTTATTAACTAATAAAAAAGATGGTAGATTACAGAATATTCTGTTAAGAAGTAGAATATTCTTAATTTTGTTTATTAATCTGGCATACAAATTTTTATTTAAAAAACATTTTACATTACTGTTAAATACTATGAGCAGAAATTAAATAATCACAAAATTTACAACTTTTTAAATAAAACAAAAATTTTAAGCACAAATGAAATATACATTTGATTTTTGTTTGATTTAAATTTTAAACGATGTAAAGGAAACGTCTGTTTTATGAACTAATTGTCCGATCGTTGCATATGTACTCAGAATTACACCAATTAATAGTGTAATTAAATTATATAATTGTCTCACAATTGTAAGAATATAATATTTAATAGATAATAACTAATTTGAGACAAATTGCAAATACATTTCTAAAACACTATAAGTTAACCTTCAATTGCTTGCATATCAAATGTCATTAATATTCATAACTTATAATTAATGCAAAATGTAAAGTTTATTTAAACATATTCAACAAAATACAGATATGAAAGAATACGAGTGGAGTTTTATCTGAAATATTGCAAGTTATGACCATGGTCATTTGTATATTGCAAAAGCATCATGGCAAAACTTAAATAAATTTTGCTTAAAACTTTAACACTTACTGCAAAAAACATAAAATCTAATCAAATGTGCATAATTGTAATAAAAGTAATCTAGTTCAATTAGATACTGCTATTAATAGTAACTAGCATTAAGTTAATCATACTTGCAATTGATATTCAATCTCTTATGTGTAAACAGATTGAGTCAATTAATTTACTATCAAAGTTCAAAAGGGGTTTAAAATCAGATTAAATGACACAAAACTGTATTTGAAAAATACAGCATAACTTGTATTGAAATGATTATTTCAATATAAATATACAACAAATACGTGCCATAAAAGCCCCCATAATTAGCCCCTTCTATGTTAACACTACCAACAAATCCCTTCATAACAGACAAACCCCTGTCTATTATCACATACTTTATGGACAAAAACGAGTTTTATATTTACACAAAACAGTCATATGTTTTGGAGTTTGTTGTGACGATCGGTTGCATTGATGTCTGGCTTTACATGTGTTTCATGTGATTTCAGACATACCATCGATCGGATCGTATGATTACTGTTGATTAGCCGACCAATGAGTGCCACAAAAGTGTTGATCAGTTATCCGATGTCTAATACAGTGAGACTCAAACACCCAATGGTTAGACGTTTCGCCGTTGAGGTGGAAGTGACGGACGAAGACTCGGATGAAGACATTGAAGTGGTTGAGTGCGTCCGCGCAGACACCGAGAAGGCGTCGCCCGACGGACACAAGTTTGGCCTCCATTTGAAGTCCGGCGCCGAAGAGTTGACTAATTACACGGTTTTCGTTCAGACCGTCGGCCAAACCGCCAAACGATATATCGATACCAACAATGGTTTGGTTCCCATCAGTGATAGTGTCACCGGTTTAGACCAATTGATCGCTTGTCAGGATTTGGACCAAATTGAAGATGTTTTGCATACAAACGCCGCTAAAAGCAATGGTTTGTCGCCAAAACACAAGCAGAAGAAACAGAAAAAGAAAAAAGCGGTAAAAGTGGTCACAACTGAGACCAACAATAAGACAATTAGTGTCAAAGGACTCAGAGCTGAAGGCATACATCCAATTGGATTGAATGTATTTAAATGCAAAGTTTGCGAAATCACTGTCAATGGTTTGACCACTGCTTTCAATCACAGCGCAAGTGATGAACACTTAAAGGTTTGCCACAATCTGTACTCAAAATATACTAATTTTAATCTCTTTTTATGGCTTTAATTGTAGACCAAATACGGCGACGACTTGAAGGGATTGGACGCACAGTTTACCATTGATTCGCCAAAAATAGGTTTTAATGGCTTTCACTTTTAGACCATTATTTGAATGATACTAATTATGAATGAATTGATCCAAAGGTGACGCCGAAGTGGCGATCGCTCGGAGACGAGAGCTCAAGAAAATTTCATTGTCTGATAAACAGGAGTATTGGTCGCACGGAATCAGACTCAAGGATGGCTTCGGTGCCGACGCTTTCATCTGTTCTGTAATTAGCATTATTTGCGTCAAAATTGTCCACAAAATGATGTTTTGTTTTGTTTAACACACGAAAGGCATGTAATCTGAAGTTTAAATCACTGAAAGAAGTGAAGAAACATGTGAAGAGTGCGGAACCGATCAAAGAGGAGACACCGGTTGTTGAGTCGGCGAGTGTGCAGTTTGTGGCCAAAAGTGTTGGATCGCCGCCACAACTGAATAAAGTGGATGAGAGGCTCAGGAATGAGGGCATCAAAGCGACCGAAACGAGCGCTGAATTCAAGTTTTATTGCCTTTTCTGTAATATGTATTTGGATTGCAAAAAGGTTGGCGTCGCCCACACTAACGATCCCAGACATAAAAAGGTATATCCAGTGATCGCATCCCGTTTTGGGCCCAAAATAACAACTAATTGTCAACATTTCCTTATTGTCAGATGAAATGCGGCGATAATCTCAATGAATTAGACGCCAAATTCACCATCAAATCGGACAGAATTAGTAATTATTAACACTATTTATATTATAGTTTAATTATAATTGAATTGATTGTAAAAACAGATGAATTCGAGGTGGCGTTCGCCCGAAGACATTATTTGCGGACAATATCACTAGATTTAAAGACTTGTTTGACAAATGCAGGCATTCGCCTAAAAGACGGGACCGGCTCTCAAGCCTTTTATTGTGTGGTTTGTATTCAATTGCTTTTTTTTCTTAATGAATATCTAAAAGCATTGATTAATTTAATGAACAGAAATGTGAGCTTTCGGTCGACAAATACGAGGAATTGGAAAATCACATCAATTCGGCGTTTCATTCAATCGATAGTTTAAAATAATGGACTCTTTGATGAAATTTGCGAAATATAAAACAATCTATTTATGGATTTAATTATTTATACCTTAATTGTTATATAAATGTTTAAAATCAGATTTTTAGTAATTTTTTTGTAAAAAATACACTTTTGAATAATTATGAAATCAAGTGATAAAATGCAGTGCTTTTCAAACTTAATGGTAAAATTGATTGATTATCAGCTATCCGTCGGGGAGTATGTGGTGTTTGGCGGTTGCGATGGTTTCCCATAATAAGCGAATAAACTGTCTTTTAATGAAGTGATGATTGATATAAGAATATCTAACTCTTCGTCGTTTGACAAACGGACAGAAAATGTTTCATTCAATTGTGATAACAATTGTTCGGCCGATAAACCACTCGCCGTGTCGTCCGTGTGATTATCATCACCTCTTAGTTCTCTAATCTTCGCCTGACGTCTCGTTTCAAACTCTGTTTGAATTTGAGTTAATTTTGCGGCCATTTTCTCATCGAAATCATAGCTTCTCTTAACGAAACCGCAACCGATTCTCTTCTCGATTCTTATGATCTGTTTTTTCAACATTTCGGATGAATTTAATGAAACCTCTTTCTCGCAAATCGTTTCGAAAATATCGTTATTTGGAGCGATTTTTTTCTATTCAAAAAACAAATGATATATTAAAAATCAATTAATATAAGATCTGATCCCAATTGATGTCAAAAATTAAGTCCATATTTACCAGTGCTCTGTATTGATGAGTAAAACCGCTCAAATGGATATACATTTGAGAAAAATCGGTGGTATAGTCGCAAAGAGTGCACTCATAGAGCGCTTGTCTTGAGTTTTGACACAAATACTCTGTAATATATTTTAATCCAATGATCGGCTGATTTGTTTGAAACAAAATATCGTTGAATTTTGTGGGTTTCTCTTCGATGCGAGCGTGAGATTCACTCTTCATGTGCTCATCGATGGCATCGAATGAAGCGATCATTTTTTGGCAAAACTATTTTCAATACAACTTTTTACTAACAAAACAAATTCACAAAATTGTTGTCTTAACGCTAAGGCTTACCCGACAGTAATAGCTATTATTGCCCGCGTATTTGATGCCCCGTTTATAGTAGAAATGTTTTATCACAAGTGGTATTGCGTTCAACCTTTCAATTTCACGCACTAAACCAAATATTAGACAAAATATTTTTTTTAATAACAAAAACTTTCAAAACTAAATCACGTTTACTTTTATCGTCGCCTTCGGACAGCGGTCTCATTAAAAATTTGTCGTTCAATCCATGGGAACAATTGCTCGCTTTTGCTGTCAACTAAATCACACACAAAAAACATACAAAATTAATGAAAAAACTTTTACTGAAATGGCAACAATTGAATGTGAAAACAATGTACCCCTTTATGGATGGCATCGTATTTGACGTGATGTCTCATCAATTTGAATGAATTGTAATACAGATCACAATAACAACAGAAGTAAATGTCTGTC